AGCTGAGTACTGGCACACAGGGGCTGCACAGAAGAAGGGCTGGCTGTAAGGTGTGTACTAGGTCTGGGTAGCTTTATTTTGCTTTAAATTTTATTTTTTTTTTTAAATTCCTGGCACATCTGTTATGCATCATTTTATACATGGACTGCAGCTGCAGAAAGAATGAACAAATTAAGATGCTTAAGTCAGTAATTATTTCAAGCCCAGTACTGCTGAACAATGTATTTTTCCAAAGAATAAAAGTACAAATGAAGAGGGTTAAAGCTGTGTAGCTCAAGTCAGTCTGATTTGAAATGAGCTGTAAGAGAACAAAATACATGTTTTATGTAATTAGCATGAACTTCATGTCATTGTTCAGTTTTGTGCTAACAGCATATACAAGCCTTGCTTGAGGAAGATTAGCAGCATTTGCTGAAGAGTTCAAGGTCACTAATTCTCTGAGTGTTAAATAGGGAAACTCTGCATGTTTCTGCTTCCTGATGTGTGTTAAATATTTAGAGAATGAGTTAACTAGATTTCTTATTTCTCGCTAAAACCTAGTATTTTAAATTCAGTGTCACTGAAATACATATGCTATGTGAGAACAAAATGTAGACTGTGTGGTGGCTTATCTTTAGACATAAGCAGAGGCTGATATTAAAAATCCTCAGTAGTTGCTGCATTTGAGAGATTTTATTATCCATGTTTGCAGCAGTGTTCAGATGACTATATCACACAGCAATCTGCCATTAGAGATGATCCCAGAGAACTGTTTCTGTAGCATTTTTTATGAATAACTTTTTTATCCAGGCTCTGTAATATGAAATCCTGTGGTTGCTGAGGAAATCATTGCTTGTTATTGTTGTAAGCACATCTGTAATAAAATATTACAAAACTTTTTACCATACGCAGATCAATCTTTCTTTGAAACACTGCTCAAAATCCTCCTACAACATCATCATATAAGTGTGTTCTGAGCTTTCCACTTAGGACAAGTGCCTGAACTTAGGTAATTTCATACACCTGAGATTCAGTTAAAAAATTAACTGCATAAACTATGGTCCAGATGAGTGAAAAGTTTTAAAATCCCCAGAAGTTTCAGCTCCTGGGATGGCTGTCAAGTGCCTGGCTGGATGGCTTCAGACATCCACATCTGAAAAATCTCTCTTGCCAACACCCTGGCCCTGTGTGGATGAGTGGGCCTTTGAAGCTTTCCATTGGAGTCTCAGGGCTTGTCTGTGTAGAGAGGATGGTTTCTTTTAGTGGCTGGGCTTTTAGTTTATAGAGACATGACTTTTATGCATTTTTTCTTTTCATTTTTTTATACACTTGTCTGTAGTAATTTTTTTTTAAATCTTGAGCAGTCAAAGCTACATTTGCCATAATTGTCAGAAGTTATCCTCTCTAAACTATTGAGATATTGCCATTCAAATGAAAGTACTGATGCATCTAACTAGATGGGAAAGTGACTCTTTATGGACAGATTACTTCTATAATCATATGTCAGAAATACTGTAATTGAGACGTAGTTAATATAGAATGATTAACAGTAAGAAATAACTATGAATTCCTGGCTGTGTTATCCAAATAAACTTTCAAGTGCCTCTACTGGAGATGTTTATTAATCTAAACATGCACAGTATATCATTAAGGTGTTTTCTTGCATGATTGATCGATTGAATTAGTTGTTCACTGGGAGAGGGATGGAGTACCCGAGTATAATGGGAGGCAGGGAAAAAGGGAAGAGGAATTGACTTTCTTCAGGAGACATATTAGCAAAACAAATGAACAGTTTTTGCTAAGCAAAATCAACATTCATTTCTGCATAATACACTCAGAGAGTGTATTATGGAGAGCATCACGTAGAGCTGAAGGTCAAGGCCAATCTGCTGCTCCCTATTTTTCAGTCATCCATTATTTACCCTTGCTTAGTCAGAGTCACTGGTACTTCCAAAGAGGAAAACAAAAAGGAAAAAGAAATGGCAGCAAGAAGAGGTTCTACATGGTGTCTTAGTTATCACTGTAATGTGAACACACCACCACAATCAAACTCAAGCACTCTGAATGCACCAATTAGTCACTCTAGTAGCAGTGAAGCAATTAAACTGAATACACGTCTTTGCCATAAGATGTAGATGGAATAAGAAGGGAGTTGTCACACAAATAGGCTGGAGTTTCTTTTCCTGCTGAGTTTAGTACTGTAAAAATCAGAATACCACTTGATGAGTGTTTTTCCACTTGTCATTTATTTCTGCTTTTTTGAGACTGAGGACAGCTCTGTATAAGACAAAAAATATGTATTTGTGTTACTGTGGATTCTGGGAGCACTACCCATAGAGCTTTCTCTCTAAATCAATTCATTCCATATGGGTGGGTTACTATAATTATATCTATGCAGATGCTGAATGCACTTATAATATGCAGAAACCATGGCTGTTGTTTTCCCAGAAAAATGCAGAAAAAACTGGAGACCAAAGCCAGCTATTAATCTGGCCTATTAGTATGTGGACAGAATGACTGATACTGGTTTCTCCTCCCAAATTATCCATTCATCTCTGGGCTGTTTTTCTATACAGCTAGTGTACACAGAAGATGCAAAACCTGATATATTACAGTATCTTTCTTCTCCAAAAAAGTAATTAAAAAATATAACTTTTTTTTCTAATACAAAAATGGCTACTTCCTATAGACCTGATCTGAATGGGAATGTGTGGCTAAACTACATTGCACTCACTGAATGCTGTGCTGCACGGCTGTAAAAAAAAAAGTTAAACCATGGTGGGTCTTCCTTGTATGACCATTTCTCTGGAAATATCTTTCATAATTCCCTCTCTATTTTCCTCCCTGTTTGATTGTTTCTTCCCTTATTTACTTCTGTCTGAGGTATTTTGAGTGAGATAGGATCCTGCCATACCAGATGCCCCCATCTCTTTTCATTATTATTTTTCTCCCTAGCATGTGAGACATTTTTCTGGATATTTCCATTTATAATCTGGCACAGCTCAGAATTCACAGAATTAGAAATTAAGCCTACGTTGAGTTTTTGGGTACTCTAGGTCTTCCCTGCAACTACAGACTGTATGAGCTATGAGCTAAAACTCATCTTTTGTGAAATACCGTGTAAATTCCTTGTCGCTGTGCCTGTGGTTTTAAAATCATAATGCAGATAGAAGTGTGAAATATTAAGCATATCCTTTTATGTACTTGGAATCGATGGCGACTTCAAAGTCAGTCCTCATTTATTGCCTGGTTTGTTTCACTTCAGAAATGACTTGAACTGTGAACAAAAAGGAGCAGACAGTATTTTCAGATAGGCACTTTATAGTTGTGCACTTTGCCACTATATGGTAGGACTGTCTCTGTTGCCTTGAATGCAGAATTGGCTTGTTGATATGTGCTGCTACAGACAGAGGAACAGATGTAGTAATTCTACTTTATTTACATGAAATCTCTAAAAAGGCATTTTCTGGCAGCATGCTAGGATTAAATACAGTATCAAATATAAACCGCGCAATGCCACGTTAGCTCATTCAGGTGTCAGCTGTGCCATTTCAATGTGAGTGAGAGCAGGGAGTCAGATCTCTCTCAGCAGGGTTGGAAGCTCTCTCATACTCAGCAACCCTGGCACCAGCCTGTCCCTCTGCCCAGGGACCCTGTCTGTATCCCCCAGGTTGGGGCTTGGCAGAGGGCAAACAGGGATGTTCCCCTCAGTCCACCCACTGATAAACCCCCATGGGAGGCCTAGAGAAAGCTACCAGATGTCCTAATTCTTTATTTCTATTTTTTTTCCAAAGTAGGAAACTCTCTTACCTTTTTTCCTACTTTGGTTTATTTGTTTGTTTGTTTGTTTGTTGGTTTTTTTTTTTTTTTTTTTTTTTTTTTTTTTTTTTTATTTTTGTTTCACTCTGCCCACCCACTCCTTGCAACCCTTCCCCCTTTACTTTTTGTGACTTGGAGGTCCCATGAGCTCATGTTTTCAAGCTTCTTGTTCATAGCCAAGAGCTTCAGAAAAATAACTGAAATTAGGAAATTATGGGGCAGGAAGGGACCATTGGGGTGGGGGAGATTGCAAACCACAGAGAAGTTCATTATCTGAGTAAAGAAGTGAAGCTTAAGTAAAACCCTGTGAACCTTTTGAGCCTGTAGTATGAGAACTTATGAGTGATGCTGAGCTGGCAGCTGCCACAAAGGAAAGATTTTCCGGGGGGACTCTGCCCTTTCCCCCTTCTTCTGTCCTCCTTTGCCATTGTGCAAAGGCTGAGGAAGGAGGTATTACTCCAGGGACAGTCCTTGTTCTCTCTCACCACTTAACTGTCCAGTTTTAGCCGAGCAGCTGCCTCTGTTAAATTGTCCCTTTTTTCTCTCTCAGGTATTCAAACTTTGCCGTGTGGGGTTGGGGATGTTTATTCAGCTTATGAGCAAGCAGACGTATTAGAGATGAAATGCCTTGACTCTGAACTGCAGGCAGAAGTGGTAGGAGGAGACACAGCTAATTTAACTTGGAAGATGATTGATGTGTACATGTCAATTTCTATTAATACTCTTTTGAAATCACTGACGCAAGCCTGCTTTTCCCCCACTCAACAGAAAATATAAATAGAAAGACAACAAAACAACCCTATCCCTTTAATTCACGATACTCAGAAGCAGTTAGGCAAACTCTGTTATTTGAGAGTGTCCTCCACAGGCTGGCAAAAAGCAGCTTATGGGGGTGTTCTTACCACTTTAAGAATATCAAGATGCTCTAACGGAGCTATCCACTTACAGTTAAAATGTATAAAGCACAAAAAGCAAGTGTCACCCACAAACAGGCTTAGACAAATTGCTTAAAAATGTACAGTTCCCTCATTAGACAGCCATTCACTGCATGAAAAGAACTAAATATATTTGTTGAGGTGTAGCTATAAAAACCATGTTCAAAATGAAACAGAGTTGAGAGTCTGAACGCACAGCACTGTTATTCAGAAGTAGCTTTCGAGCCGAGAGTTTCAACGGGAAGGTGCTGTTTGGTTGGACACAAATCAGCAAACGTTTAGCTGGAGCGTGAATAATTCAAGCGTGCACGAAGAGCTGTGCTTTCTGAAGAGACGAAACGCAAGAATAAAAAAAAAATAAATCTTCAAACATTCACATCAGCCTTAGAGGACAATGCAAGCAGCAGGATTTGAAACAGATTTGCAGATGCACTCTCTTTAGGCAGGGAGAATGCTCATTAAATGCAAGATGCTTCTGTGGCTCGTGGGCTTGCACGGAGGTAGAGGTTTGCAAGACTGACGTATCAGATAAAGTCAGAGTGGTTACCACACCGACGGTGTAGCAGCTGCATAATAAATGATGGAGAGAATCATGTTAGGCATGCCCACCTAACCTAACTTGAATCATGCGAAAGGGGAGCTGCTGGAATTCAAATAGACTTTCTGGTTCCCAGCAGTCGGCAGTAATAGAATGCTTTCAGGAAGATGACAGATGCAGGGGGAAGATGCTGTTTTGCACTATCTTGATTTGTTACGGCAGCCAACTTATTGGCATGATGGAGTGACAAGAAAAGCAGCTGGCATGGAAGGTAGGATTATCAAAGCTATTGCATCATTATGAATGTAATTAGAAACTGACCATGACAAAGCATATGCTAGAATGAGCTGTCGCCGATGGCAGAGGATTTGTTGCTGAGGTCTCGAAACTCTGAAAACAACATTTCTCGTGCAAAATGGATTTTTCAGTTTCATTTGTGCTTGTGTTACTCTTTCTTTGCTGCTCGCCTCCAAGCTTGGGGAATTGCTTGCTTGAAAGAGAGTGTCGTGTTAGGATGAGACTGAAGAATAAAGTATTTTCTAAGTCTGTGAAGCCTCAGGTAGATAGAAGCAAACAAATGTGAAACAAGACTAGGAAAAGCTCTCTCGGATTCACTAGCATGCTCTGACCTATTGGTATATTGAGGAATCCCAAGGAAATGAAGGTGCATGTACTGAATGTTTTGGTATAATGAAAAGATAACATTACAGGTCCCTGCTTTACAGTTAGTTTTTTATGACAGGTTTTATTCCCCATCAGTTTTTAGCTCTTGACATTTATCCGGTTGTTCAGTATTATATAAAGAAAATACATCAATATCTCCTGCAGGGTTTCTCAACAACTCCAGCATCTGCTTCAGCTATTGAACTGTATTCACGTTTTGCCAACTTGATGCCTACCCAGCTGGTCTATCATTTCTCGCTTGATTACTGTTCTTAATTTCTCTGTATCAGCTTGTTTCAGACAGGATTTTGAAAGCTGTTAATGAGAAATGACAGTAACTGCTAAACTGTTGAGAACTGGAGTATTCTCTTAATTTTGAAATATCAGAGAGCATTTTTGTGTGCATTTTATTAAATTCATGTTATGTGTTGTTCTGTGATGTTTTCATATAACAGTTAAATTTAGCTGTGAATACTTTGAACTAGATGGGTCACAAGCATAACTTTCAACTGACTATTTTAAGAGAGTTTGAGAAAATGTAGAGGTGTTTGCTTTGGTGTAGGTATGGTCTTAATATATATTCCTTCCTCCTGTGCACCTCTCCCCCCACAACATATATACCCTCTCTCTGTCACCGTGAACAGTCATTAAGTGTATACTGTACATATTGAAATATATTTTATCACCACTAGGGTGAAACTGCTAAGCAGCTCTGAACAGGTGATTTGAACAGGTTTAAAACACACATCAGCTCTATCAGAGTGGATCACCCTTGATGTAAGAAGTAAAAGTGTTGCTTTCCAAATTCTCTTTCCTTCCTATTTGAAGGTTCAACAACCTCTCAAACACTGCTTGATAGCTCACAGGTTATGATTATGTTAAATTATTTGGATTATTTGGCTTTACAAAATGGTTTCTTTTATGTAAACTTTCTTCTTCTTTAGGTCTATCATTTTTTCCTAGACGATGATGAAGAAATCTCTTATCACACTGGATATTCACTTTTCTGAATTTATCTTAAATTACTTTGTTGGCTGTACTCTATGTTGTCTTGTCAAAAGGGAATCAGGCTATTAAACACTAAATGTTGCTGAGTGAAGCTGTTACAGTTTTAGAAAGATAGATGTTTCTAGATACGCAGCAGTGAACCAGCCTTTAGAAAGTTTGAAGGTAAAGATCAGTAAAACTGATATACTGTTTGCTAGTTTGAACATTTCCCTGCTTTGATCATCTCTGAGAGGTATTTTAAATTATTTTGTAACTGCCGGAAGGGGAGATGTACTTACAAATGGAGAGGATCACTGTGGGGTATGTATAGCCAAAAATAGTTCTGTAGTTTTGATGACAATAAAATAAAATGTTATTCTATTTCATAGAAGTTCAGTTAAATTTAACAATAATTTGTCGTTGTTGATCATAATGAAACCATAGAGAGAATAACCCCTATAAACAGCTTAAGTGCCATTCTCCTTTTCAGGGCAGCAGTAAAACTGTTTTATATTGCATATATTATATTTATGCTCCTGAAGCTGCTAGTCTCTTGTCTCAAGAGTGCATGCTGGCAGTCATCATACAGTAGTTACTTAAAATGGCCTTTTCCCTGTGACGCCAGAAATTGTAACTGCATGCTGTCTGTGGCCATCATCCAGCTGACAAGTGATTTTATAGTTTGTTTCTGGTTTATCTCTAGTATTTGGTTTTAGCTTTTTCTTTCGCTGATGAAGTAAGACGACACTAGGTGGAGCTAGCTGTTGATTATAAATAGAGCCAGAGTAATACAGGCCTGTCTAATGAGCCAGCCCCTGTCTATAAAGATCATTAATAAAAATAACAATTTAAAATGTTAAGAAATGAGTTGAAACTCTAGAGAGTCTAGATCTGGTGAGATTAGAGGAAACCATTTCTTCATTTCCTTTTCTTTTTATTATCTTAAAAGCTTGTAGTCAAATATGAAAAATAATAATAAGGAAAAAACATCTACATTCAATAAAGAGATCTGGGAAGAAAAAGAATGGAAATAGAAAAGAAAGAAAAAAGACAGAAGCAGTAATAAGAGCCAGCAGATGTTTCCACTGTAGATACATGCAGATATCCATTTGTGTGTATATATATATATATATATATGTTAAGTCTGATGCACATAGATTTTCTCTTGTCCTTACATTTAATTCCTCTTTCCAGTCTGTCTTCCTAAGGTAATTTATAGAGCTGACATCTTTCACTTTCCATTTAGATATGGGACCGATGTTTTCAAACCTCTTCTTTGGAGGGTGATCTGAAAGGTGTGCAAGGGCACAGAACGTTGTCACTCACATGTTGGACAGAGATAATTAAGAAAAATGTGAAAAGATATTTACTGACTGAGGTGGGATCTGATTGTATGTGCTCCTTCACATGATCCCAGTTATTAATCCTAGTCAAGGATAAGAAATCTGTAGTCCTAGGCAGTGTGACAACACATGAAAAATACACTCACTTCCTCACAGATTTACTGATATGTGCCTCAGATATGGTGCATATATTAATTCAGAAAAGCAAAGACAGAAGTCAGAATATATGCTGGTAGTTAGGTACAGGAACTGAAGAGGAAAAAAATGGGAAATAAATAAGAAATGTGAGATGAGTACAAGGTAAGGGATAGGCAAACACAGAGATTAAGGATATGGGCTTGGTGCAGACTGGCAGAACAATTCCCATCAACCTCTGTTGAGTGAAGCACCTGCAAGTTCAATCAGTGTCTTGTTCTTATAGCAGTAAAAGGGAATTAGGATAGGGAGATACTTAAGTCAGTGATAAAAATTAGCACACGAGGGAAATCACAGCAGCCTGATGTTCCAGGAGTAACAAAATCTAGAACCCTAGAGATTGACATTTTTGAAGGTTAGAAACTTAAAATTTTAGTACTGACGTGCTTTAGAATGGTCCTGTTCTGCACATAACCAAATTTTGTATGGACCTATTGCTTGTTGGAAGAGTCTGAGGGAAAGCTGTGCTGCATTGCCAACCTTAAAAGACCTTTTCGATTATAAGCTCAACAGTACAAGCATGAGAGGTGATCACCTACAGTGGAAACAAAGTTTATTACTTTTACAAATAATTCAATATTTTATTAAGGCTAGACTATGAATAATTTTTAATTTTTTTTTATTTTAATGGATAGTTTCAACCAGAAACAAGGCTTTTAAAACGTGTTATGATGTCAGTACTTCCATATCTGCTTCTGTACAGTTTTGTCCACCAGCATCTCGGGACTCTTGCTTTGAATGAGCTCATCCTGACATGTCCTGAATGTTCCTTCTGACAGGAAGATGTGTTTAGTGTGGCAGCTCTTGCCTTTCTGATGCTGGTCACCTGCTGCTTCACTCAATTTGTGGTTCCTCCTGAACAAGGTCAAAATTCTAGTTGAGAAATACCCACAGTGCGGGGAAGTGTCTGACAGTCTTGGGTAAGGGTCATGAGGAGCTCAGCCAGAAGAAAAAGATGTACTCCTCCTTCTCTCTATCACTAAAATCTGTCCACTAGAATGAGGAAGAGGGCAGGAGGAGAGAAAACAGCACATAAGGTGGGGAATGGAGGGGCTTCAGGTGCTTCATGAGATGGTCATTTGATGAATGAGTGGTAATCACCTTGAGAAAAAAAGCATATGGAAAGGCACATGTGGAAGTCAAGTTATCCAAGGGATATTACTGAGCATTTGGTTATGTACTGCCAGAAAATTCTGCAAAGACACATTACATATATGCAAAACATGTTAATAAATTGAGTCTGTTAGCAAAGAAGGAAATATTTTTGTCCTTCAAAAGCCAGAATTCAAACTCTGTGGGTTATTAATTTGTTCTTACTGTCTAACCACATTAAAATTACTGAAAATTTGGGAGCATTATATTTGATAATAAATGCTGAGGGATATCCGTTCTCTTCACCACAGATAGGGTCTGTTGGGTTTTTTTCACAGAATATTAAACCACTTGTCTCTTAAATCATATATTTTAACTTCTATTAGGGAATGTTGAGATTTCCAGGAGATGCTGGTTGTTGCTAAGTATGGTGTTAAATTTCAGTATAATGCTCAAAGGAGTAAAAGACAGGGGAAAGATGATCTATCTGAACTACCCAGACACTACTCCTTGCTGTCCTTTGTTCAGAAAGACATCCAGAGAAATGAATGAGAATTTTCTGAAGGTTGATATTTTCTTACTTCACCTTCTCACTCTGGAAGAATCAGACCAGAATATTACTGTGTTTGAATTGGAAATAACAAGAAAGCCTTCAGCTTCCTGCTCCACTGAATCTCACAGCCCATCTCCTTGGTGATAACGCCAAGCCGAGCGGTGCAGTTGATACGACTGAAGGACAGGATGCCTTCCAGAGGGATGTGGGCAAGCTCGAGAAGTGGACCCATGGGAACATGGTGTGGTCCAGCAAAGCCAAATGCAAGGTCCTGCACCTGGGTCAGCGCATCCCCCACTATCAATCCAGGCTGGGGGATGAGCAAATCGAGAGCAATCCTGCCGAGAAGGACTTCAGGGTGCTGGTAGGTGAGAGGCTGGACATAACCTGCAATGTTCACACACAGCCCAGAAACCCAGTTGTATCTTGGGCCACAAC